GGGGGCCAGGGCAGAGAAAGCCCTGGCCCTGGTTGAGGCTAGACGGACATCTTTTGGGTTAACGGGTCATGTGGAGACCACTGTAAATGTGCAAGGACTGCCCTGACTGTGGCCATGACAGATAGCTCTGGTTGTCAGGTAATTCTCCTGCCTATCATGGTGGGTGCTCGTACCAGTTGTACTTCTTCAAAGAGGTGGCTGACTCTGGCATGGGGAAGTAATCTGACAGAATCAGTGTTCTGCAGTGTTTCACCATGGCTGAGCAAGGCTTGGCTAGCAGCTCTAAAGAGGGGAAGTAAATGCTGAGTAACGGTTAGGATGTCAGACTAGGATCTGGTAGACATGGGTCCAAACCCCACCTAGTCATAAAGCTTGTTGAATGGCACTAGGCCAGTCATTCTGTCTCTTTCAGCCTAACCTTCCTGGCAGGTCTGTTGTGAAAGTAAACAAAAAGCAGGAAAAATCGTGTGTTGCTATGAGCTCCCTAGTAGAAAGGTAGGATATAAATGAGAGAGACTTTAGGATTAGTTCTCTGCAAGAGGGTAAATCGACTGTACCATTCCATGCTGCGGTTGGGAAGCTAACAGGGTTAACTATTCCTCTTGACCCCACCATCCATCCACATAAGAAACTAGTATGCAGGGTAGAGGCTTCTAGCCTAGTTTCTCCTTAACGTGCTGGTTTTCTATGGGAATTTAGTCACTTGTAGCCCAATTTGGTCCAAGCACACAGTTTTGCCACCTGAACCAGAACTAAGTCCTGTAAAAGCAACCTGTCAATGCGCAAAGAGAGGAATGTGTTCCTTTTGGCCCCAAATGCCATCATTCAGCATGTCGGATAGCACGCAGTTGGTATGACAGAGGTATACCCCATGTAATACCAGTGGATAGAGATTTGGGTAGTGTCTTGTACTGCCTGATCAGACCCAGCTCACATTTGAGAACCTCCCAGTGCCAAAATAGATATGACAGAGATCACAGGTTGGTCATTGGAGACTTAACCCTTAATTATCGTATGATTGAGGTTGCTGTGGGGGAGAATGCATGCATGATGGGAGTGCAGTGCATAATGCTGTGCCCCTCCCCCAAGTCTCATTACCAGGTAAGAATTCAGAAGAATATCATCTGCAACAGACATATGGGCAAGTAATACCCACAAGATTCCAGGTATAATAGGACAGGAGTCTTCAACCTTTTTGTGCCTGCAGGCACCTTTAGAATTCTTACACATTTAGTGGGCCCAAGCACAACATGGCTGCTGCAGGAAGCAGAGCCAACCAGAAAATATTAGGGAGTGAGTTTGTGTATTACTCCAGTAGTAACTCTTCAACATTTCATGCAGAAGCTCTGTGTAACAGTATGATTTTTTAAAATTAAGCTATTGCTTTACAATATTTTCTTGCATACATGCAGTTTACCCTGCATTGTACAGCAAAGATCCTTGTTTTGTGGTGGCAGCTGTTGCCAAAGCAACATTTAAAAAAAAATCTGCATAGCCAATCACATCTCCAATTAGAAGATATGCTGATCAAAAGCCTATCTGGGCGCACTTTCTAAAAACATTTGGTGGGCTCCAGGAAAGGTATTGCAGGTGCCATAGTGCCCATAGGTGCCACATTGGATGCCACCACTGTCCTAGACCAGCAGGAAATTGACTTCATTCTTGCATGGGCACCTTCCTTTATTTTAAAAAAAGAATTACTGTGGTCCACCAAGGTGTATGAGATGTACCATGCAAGAGGGCATACTAAGGATCTCTTAACCGTTAAGATTGATAATCTGTGTTGTGTTATCTTGGGATTCATGTAAGAAGTTGATCAGATCAAGGACCACCTTATCCAGCATTCATGGGAAGAATCCCAGCAATTGACTGAATTCTCAGTGAACCGTCCGGAATTGATTGTGGTCTCTAGTTGTGAATCATTGCCCAGTTTCCTGCCCACCCAAGCCTTTTCCCCAAAAGGGATGAATCCCACTTTTAGTTTGTTGTGCTTGCTACTGTGATATTTCTCTGTCTTGTAGCCAAAATATTTCCATAGTATCTCAGACAAAGCTTTCTAGCGCTCCACAAACAATCTTTTCCTGGCAATGTTCTGTTCACCAGAGTGGCTTTCTCAGTGGGGATTATTTGCAAAGCAAGGATTAGCCACTTTACAGACAGGTCCATATCTTTGTTTCCTCTCTGCCTGGGCCACACTGACTTAAGGCTGGCTGGTAAGTTGCCAGTGTAAACTCTGTAATGCTGGAAATGAACATCACTAGGATCCTGAGCCAGAATCAGAAAAGCATTTTGTGCTCTTTTGGCTGAGCTCTCTTTTGTAAGTTCCATCTTGCTTGTAGCTGGGAGAAGAGGAACAAGAAAATAAGACAAGTGATGAGTCACAACCTTTTGGTGCATACATTACGGCACTAGCATGCAGCGGTGCCAGTTGGCCACTGCCAGAGTGCTCTTTCCCCTTGAATGAAGAGACAGCAGCGAGAAGGGGTGAGCACGGTAGGTGGGATAACTTCCGAGGTGGGATAATTATTGATTTATGTTTATTCACAGATTTATACAACCCTTTTCCAACCTAATGGGGACTTAAAAGTGGCATACACCATTCTCCCTTCCTCCATTTTACCCTCATAATAGCAGTGCTCTGAGACAAGTTTGGCAGCAATAGAGTGACTGGTCCAACATCACCCAGTGAGCTTCCACGGCAGAATGGGGATTCTAGCCTTGGCCTCTGAGGTCCTAATCCTGTGCTCTGTTACAGTATAGCATCTCTGCTTTACTGCAGCTGGACTGAGAATGGGGAATACTGTGGCATCTCATTAACCCTTCCTAAGTCCAGCCAGCATGAGGTCTGTGGCATAGCTCCCCAACAACCTCCATCTGTGAATTTGAACCAGCCGTGGTAGCAATGACCGCAGCTAGAATCAGAAGTTCCTGTGCTTTTGTTAAAAACAATGAAGGACTTCCAAAATCCCAGCAAAGAGTAAAATTGTCTTTCTAGCTCTATTGGTTCTCCTTCAAACCCAGTTTAAGCCCAGCTAATGAAAGCCAATCCAAAAGAAGCGTCAAAACGCTTTTGCAAAAGATACTTAGTGGTAAGCCTTCAGCATGTGATGGAGTGAAGTCACATGCAGAAAAGCCCCTGCAAGTGCTCCCTTCAGTGTCAGGCCAGAGGTCATCTTTGAAGGAGCTCCATTTTGTGTAGTGTAAATAGTCATTTCCCGTCACATTTAGGATGGCATCCCTGTGTCTATCAGCATGAGCTCCTTTGCTTTGCCCAGCTTGGTCACAGCTGCAGTTGCTTGCAGCCAGGGACCACAAATATGGGTGCCAAGATTACCGGTAGCAAGAAGAAAGTTAACTCTAGCAGCCAGTGGAGAAAGCAAGAGAAACCATGAGTGGTTCTTTCAAAATGGTGCCAGTCTAAATCTTGTGTTGGGATTTAGCACCTCAAGTGGGGGGGTCAAGTTTGCCGCAGCATAAGGGATCCAGGACAGTCAGGCAGACAGTAACAGAGTGTAGAATTTGGACTGATTGGCAAACAAGGGAAGGGGGGTCCATGGCTACCCTAGTTCCCAATGCTCATATTCTTTTTTTCCCCATGGAACTCAGGGTAGTATATATCTTCTCCCAGCAACCCTGGGAGTAAGTTGGCTAAGTGATAGGAACTGGACTAAGGTTACCCACTGAAGTTCATGGCAGAGTAGAGATTTTGCATCCAGGGCTCCTCTGTCTGAATTCAAAATACTGTGCAGTACACCTTGCCAGTTCTCTGGTCCAGTGTATGCACAAAACTAAGTGAGAAAGGCACATTATAAATGAAGTAAATGATTTATTTTTTTTAATCTGGGGATGGTTCTCCATGTATTTCCTTACAAGGACCAGATATTTGGGGGCATGGAGCGGGAAGAGAATAGCAAATTGAAATCTGTGCAGTGTGCACCATTGGTTAGTGATTCTTCTGAGATTCAGTGATGGAGGTTTATTTTCATTTCAAGTGCTGCTGGTCTTTTGGGTAAGAGATCCCTGAGACCTGTAGAAGACTGTGGGATCTCTGTGAGCACATTCTGGCTCTGATGCCTTCTGTTCATGTCTCTCCCCCCCCCCCCCCCTCATCCTCCATGTTAGGAGAACCAGAAGACACTCTTGCGCCAAGTGCAGCAGATGACCTATAGCCTGATTGAATGGCGGTCCCAGATACTTTCAGGAACCCTCCCCAAGGATGAGCTGGCTGAACTCAAAAAGAAAGTCACAGCTAAAATAGACTATGGCAATAGGTAAGTATCAAATCGGGGAGGCCTACGAGGAATTGTGGGAGGGGGCAAACAAACTGGAAATCCTATCTCCATACCCCCCGTCCCCCCAAAAAAATCTCTCCCCACAGGGTTCTGTGTTTCCAGGGGCTTGACCAGGCTACCTGGTGCAGTCTTCTCTCACCCTTCCTCCACAGAGCTCAGGGTATGTGGACCTCCCTTCCCTTCACATACACTCTGTGAGGCTGAGAGAGAGAGTGACTGGCCTAAGGATGCCTGGCAAGCTTCCGTGCACAGGGCAGATGGGAGCCCAGGCCTCCCAGCTCCTAGTCTTGACGCTCTAAGCGCAACGCCAAACTCAGTTCTCCCCATTGCTTGGCTCACATTCCAGTCAGTAGCTGCCACAGCTGAGCATCAGGGGCAGAGCAAGACTTAGGCAGTGTTGGCGGGTGCTGCCACAGAAATGCCCTACTCACAGAGAGGGGGAAACAGAGCTGTTGGGGAGGGGAGATTTGAGGAGCTCAAGGGGGCATGGCTATCCAGGGCAGTGGCCCACCAAGAATTTTCCAGTGACTTTAATGGCCAATCAGCCTGCTCTTTCCAGCACAGCACTCCATCTGACTGTCTCTGGCCAGTTAGCATACAGAAACTGAAGTAACTAGAATGCGAGCATCTTGGGTCAACAGAAGTGGTCTTTCTTTAATAAGTGTGTGTGTGTGGGGGGAAGATGAAGAAAAGCAAGGACACTTCGAACCTTCAGAAGGTAGCTGCTGTTCTAAGCGGGCTGCTTCTTGCTTGCCTCTACTTCCCATTTGGCACGCAAGTGCTGAACTGAGCATCACAGATCTATCCAAAGCATGATGGAGGCAGACCCATTTTTAAAAACTTGAATTTGGAAGGAGGGGGAACATAAGAAGAGCCCTGCTGGATCAGTCCTCTGGTCCATCTAGTCCAGCCTTCTGTTTCACACAGTAGCCAGCCAAGTGCTCTAAAGGGCCAGCAAACAGAGCACAGAGGCCAAGGCCATCCCCTGATGTTGCCTCCAAGCACTGGGTTTCAGAAGTTTGCTGCCTCTGAATACAGAAGATGCCTTCACTCACTAGTAGCCATTGGTGGACCTCCCCTCCGTTAACCAGCCTGATCCCCTTTGAAAGGCATCTGTGCTCCTAGGCATCACTAACCTTCATTAGCAGAGGATTCCTCAATTTAATTACTTGTTGAGTAAAGAATCATTTCCTTTTGTTAGGCCTGTACTTATTGCCCATCAAGAAAAGTTGAGTGTGTTAACATTACCACTTTTCTTAGAAAATGAAAGATTAATGTATGTAAATTTTGGAAAACTGAAAATAAAACAATAAAAAAGAGGCAAATGCCATAACAAACAATTAAAACAGCATAAAAAAAGAAAGAAAAGTTGAGTGTGGGGTCAGCAAGCTGAATTCTCCTTGTTCCTGCTGCTTACCTGCTTATAGTCTCCCAGAGGTTCTTCCTCCTCACCGGGAGAAAAAAGTACTTGGGGGAGGGGAAAGAGGTTTCAGGGAAATGAGCAGTGAGGAGGATACAACTCTGCCTGCCTATGCATACTTCCATATCCCTCCTGGCACACAGGCCTTCTACCACTGCTTGAGAAGTCAAACATTAAACTGTTCCATTGGTGCTATGTTCCAGGCAGCCATAGAAGGCTTTGGATGCTTCATGCTGCCCACGGGTTGCCTCCGTGGCTGATGTATCACTTGCCTGTCAAATCTCTTTCAGGTCAGATAAGCTTATTAAAGTGGTACATGAAGGTAGAAGCTGGAGAAAACCCTGTTTTTAACCTTCTGTGAGAAATGTGACAAATTTCATAGCTGCGGCAGAGAGAGTGTCAAGATTGTAACTGATGGCGTCTTGTAATTATTTTTAGCGGTCCTGCAATTTAAGTCATTTTTCTTTTCTGTCCTCTTTGGGAAAAGTCTTCAACACTGCAACCTCTTCAGATTGTAGGGATTTTTTTTTGCGGGGGGGGGGGGTTTGATGTATTTTGAGTGTTCCTCCATGTAAAGACTCCTTGCAGATTAAAAATTAGCATATCAGGTAGAGTGGTCCTAGTCTAGTCCTTTGCATGCTGTGCTAACTTTCCACTTACAGGGAATGATTAATGAAGGTCCTGGTCATGCAGTCTGAACGGGTACAGCAACCACCTTGGTACTTGGCCACTTCTTTACCACCTTGCTGTGCTGCATGTATAGACTGTGCATTCTGCACAGTAGCAAGGTTGTCAGGTGCTGAGCTAATGCTTGCTATTGACATAATAAGCGAAGACTCCTTCCTCCCCACAGGCTCCCCTTCAGTCTTGCGCCCTTCTTATCCTATGATTCTTCACCCCTGCCACTCTTATTGATGGCCCTGGATGAAGTGTAAAGCAGGAAGCACATGGCTGTGTACTCATCTGTGCTGCTTTTAATAATTATGCCGTGTACTTTAGCAAAAGTGCTTAGAAGTTAGCTTCTAGCCCTTGTGAGGGAGAGTAATTCAAAAGCATGTGGTTTAAAAGGACGTGGATCAAAACTAGGGTGGTAGAATAGTTCAAGGGATGGACTAGGACTGGGAAGAAAATCCCTGCTCAAACATGAAGCCCAGTGCCTTGGGCCCTGTCACTTTCTCTCAGCCAAACCTTCCTCACAGGGTTATTTTGAGGCTAAAAATGGAGGAAGGGAAACCTTGAATGCCACCCTGAGCTTCTTGTAGGAAGGGAAAGATAAAATGTGTTGATAGCCCAGGAAACGGAATACCCAGTACACTGGGACTGAGATTTAATGAGAAGTGTAAACCAAAAGGCTTTTTCTCTCTTGTACAGGGGTTGGCTGTCATCCGTACCCCACCCTTCTCCAGAAAATAAAAATGCCACTCTGGAAGGTCTTTTGACCCTCTGGAGATAGTTTTGGAGGCTCAGGGAGCTGCAGATAGGAGAGGAAGGAAATCAGCAAATCCTCTGTATGACCCTCCCTTCATGCAGTAGTAGGATCGTTGGATCCAAGCCATTGACTTGGCTTATTTTTCCTGTTCCATAGCTGTTACCTTTTTCCTCCTGACCACTCACAAATATTTCATGAGTTTCAGTCTGCTGTTATATGATCCCAAAGAAAGGAAGTGAGCTTGCAGATACAGGTTTGCCTGATCAGCACAAGTTATTCCAGTTGCAGAAGGTGGATGGTTGCTGAGTCTGAACTTTTTTTTTTTGTAGAGTAGAATTCTATACCTTTTTGAAAAACAAAAGAAAAAAACACATGTGCAGTTATGTTTTCCTTCTCTGGAAAGGCATGGTGGTTTCCAGTAAGATAGAATGGGGAGAATCCTTAGGAAAACATGAGCACATTGTAATTTTGAAATTATTCGTTACCTGCCCCAGCTTTAATTTCCTTATGAGGTCCCATTTTTAATCCGGTCTGCTTATTCTTGACTGTGTCATTTTGGGTGGTCACCAGGATCTTGGGACTGGACTTGGTTGTTCGAGATGACAATGGGAACATCCTTGACCCAGATGCTACCAGCACAATAGCACTCTTTAAAGTGCACGAGACAGCATCCAAAAGAGTCAACGAAAGGATTCAAGAGGAAAGGGTATGGATCTTAGCTTTTTCTTGCCACCTCGTCACTGGGAACCAGACAGCAAATTGCACTAAGTAATTGTGAGAGGCAAACAGAACTCAAAAGTGTGTTGGGTGGGACTGTTATGATCTGAATGAATACATTTGATCTAAGGTCAATTCACAACTGTTTGTTTAGCCAGAATGGAAATTGACTCTGACCTAAGGGTCAAGCTTAAACTTGATGTCAGGAAAGCCATGGGGGGGGAAACCCCTCTGCTTTGTTTTCCAGTGTTCTTAGCCACCACAGGTGGGCTTGATTTGGATTGGGACTGTGGCTCAGGAGGAGGGAAGAACTTAACCCCCCAGTGCCATTTTGTCCACTTTCTCAGTAGGCTGCCCTGGTAGTTGTTATTGAGCCTGTTATCTCCCACTGGCCTCAGACAAATATCTGCTATTTGGGGAGAGAAAGGATGGTGAAGGGGAGAAAGTATCAAGTAGGTGTAAGGTATGTGTTCTGAGTAATTTGAGGATGGGGAAATGGCCTGTGGGTAGAATCACAGAATCATAGAGTTGGAAGGGACCTCCAGGGTTGTCTAGTCCAACTCCCCCCCACACACACACACATCCAGTGACCCCTGCTCCATGCCCAGAAGATAGCAAAAACCTTCCAGGATCACTGGCCAAACTGGCCTGGAGAAAAATTGCTGCCTGACCCCAAAGTGGCGATCAGCATTTCTCTGGGTGTTTAAGAAACTAAGCACCAATACATCCCTTTCTGCCCTCCTTCTCATGATCTGCCTGAGTTCACAGAATCAGCATTGCTGTAAGATGGCCATCTAGCCTCTGTTTGAAAACCTCCAAAGAAGGAGAGCCCACCACCTCCCGAGGAAACCTGTTCTACTGAGGAACCTCTCTATCAGGAAGTTCTTCCTAATGTTTAGACAAAAACTCTTGATTAATTTCAACCTATTGCTTCTGGTCTGACCTTCTGGGGCAACAGAAAACAACTCTGCACCATCCTCTGTATGACAGTCCTTCAAGTATTTGAAGATGGCTATATCACCTCTCAGTCATCTCCTCTCCAGGCTAAACATATCTGACTCCTTCAACCTTTCCTTATAGGACTTGGTCCCCAGACTCCTCACCATCTTCGTTGCCCTCCTCTGGACACATTCCAGCTTGTCTATATCCTTCTTAAACTGTGGTTCCCAAAAGTGAACATAATTCTCTGGGTGAGGTCTAACCAGCGCAGAGCAAAGCGTTTCCATCACATCATGTGATCTGGACACTATACTATTATTGATACAGCCCAAAATGGCATTTGTCTTTTTAGCTACCACATCACACTGCTGACTCATGTTCAATGTGTGGTCTACTAAGACCCCTAGATCCTTTTCGCACATACTACTGCCAAGACAAGTCTCCCCCATCCTATAATTATGCATTTGATTTGTCCTACCTAAATGCAGAACTTTACATTTATCCCTATTGAAATTCATTTTATTTGTTAACCCAGTTTTCCAGCCTGTCAAAATCGTCATGTTTCCTGACTCTATTTTCTACTGTATTTACTACCCCATCACCCATAGCCCTAGTTTGAATCTCTTCCCACAACCACCCACAGCTGCTCTTTAAACTGAAACAGTTAAGTCTAGTTTGACCTGGGTGGGAAGGACTCAAAGGGGTCCATTTGTACAAAATCTGGTACACTAGAGTTTCCAATATGAATTAACACTGAAAGGCACTGAAGTGTTGATAAGCATAAGGATACATGGTCATCCTTTTAAAAAAGCAACTTAATGCAATATAAATGGTGTTTGTCTGCTGTTTCTAATAACAATAGAAGAAGGTGGTGATGATGATATGCTCAAAACATTCTATTCCATTATGCTAGAAGTTCCCATCAGAAATATTTATGCTTTATTTCTGGAATTACATAAATATACCATAGCATGTTAACAGGCTTGCAGTTCATCCCAGGCGACCTCTGCTCTATGAAGCCTGGGTAAAGTATATCAGCCCCCGCACACACCCATGTTGTGGACATTGTCCTCTCTTCTAAGGGAGGCCAATATCCTCATCCCGATATTTCCAGTGGAGTTAGTGGTTAGACTGAGGAACTGAGGCTTGCCTGAAACAACGTGTTAAGTACATGGCTGAGCTGAGATTTGAACCCAGATCCTACTCTTAATCCCTCTGCTACACTGGCTGTTATTACCTTTGTATTCATTCAGTGGTTTTTAAAGAAATATACTTTCAGGTCAGTCAATCCATCGTGTCTTATTGCAAAGGTTGCTGCTACTGTTATTGCTCAAGCTTAAAAAGAGAGGACATACACAGGCCTGCAAACTGTGTGTTTGGAAAAAGTTTTTCCACTGGTGGTCATTTTATCTCTACAATGACCCTATAAGGTAGGTTAGAGACAGTGACTGCCCCAAATTCACCCAGTGAACCTTCATGGATGAGTGTGGATTTGAACCCAGATCTCCCCAGTTGTAGTCTGACATACCACCTCACTATGCTAGCTAACATTTCATTAAGCAAATCACAAGCTTGGAGGTTCAGTTGGGTCTGTCTAAAAATGTGGGGGAAGGGGGGTTCATGATAGCTACCCCTTCCTCTGGAATAGTGTTCTTGGCATCTATCTGCCTTCCAGTTTCTGCGTAGCATTTATTCAAGCTAAAATGCTCTGAATGGATTGTTTTTAGAACAGATTGTCTTTTTGAGGCCTGCGTTCTTCCTAATGGTTTGCTTGTGTGTTGTTTCCCCCTGTCTTCTTTTGTTATGTCATCCCAACAGTCTCTTCAGCAAGATTTAGGCCTGCGGGGACAGTCTATCTTCAACAGCACCCACACCTACAGTCTGTATGTCAACGTCAAGAATTTTGTCTGCAACATTGGTGAGGATGCGGAACTACTCATGAGCCTTTATGATCCCGACCAGTCCTTATTCATTAGGTGCGTAACTGCTGAAAGAGTATATGAGACAAAAAGAGAGAGACCCCTTTCAACCTGCAACCCCTTAGTTAATGCCTCTGTTTCACCTCTGGCACATAGTTTCAAGTGGGTAGCCATGTTAGTCTGTAGCAGCAGAACAAAATTCGGGTCCAGTAGCACGTTAGAGACCAATAAAGCTCACAAACTGAGCTTAGACTGACAGAAGAAGAAGAAGAGATTGGATTTATGCCCCGCCCTTCACTTGGAGTCTCAGAGTGGCTTACAATCACCTTCCCTTCCTCTCCCCCCAACAGACACCCTGTGAGGTAGGTGGGGCTGAGAGAACTCTGAGAGAACTGCGCTTGAGAGAACAGCTCTGAGAGAACTGTGACTGACCCGCGTTCACCCAGCTGGCTGTATGTGGAGGAGTGGGGAATCAAACCTGGTTCTCTAGATTAGAGTCTGCCGCTCTTAACCACTATGCCAAAGTTTATACTCTGAAAAATGTTGTTGGTCTTTAGTCCTACTGTACTGGAACTTTGTTCTTTTGGCACACGGCATCCTGCAGGCAGCTCCCAATCATCTAAATAATAAATTCTGATATAATATAGCACAAAGAATAAAGATACAAATGCCTGTTTAACAGTTGTGGGATACAGTAATGCTTGGGGGGGGGAACACACAGTGTGCATCTTAAGGTAAGCTGAAAGCTCGATCAAACACACTCATTTTAGCAGCCTTCTTGAAAGAAACAAATATGCTTCTTGAAAGGAGGGTGTAACATAACCTTGGTGCCTTCAGCAAAAAAGGTCTAAGTCACATGTTACTACCCACTGAACCTCTGGTGGTGGCAGTACACAAAGCAGGTCCTCCCCAGATGATTTCAGTCTCCAGGCAGATTGGAGAAAGTGGTCTTCAAGTATTCTGGCCCTAAACCACTGAGATCAAAACCAGCAGCCTGAACACAAATGGTGCCCCCCCCTTCAATGATGTGCAGGTCTCAGTTGTGCCAGAGAAGCCTGCATAAGAGAACTTCCCAGTGTATTGTGCCTTCACAGGTCAGGTTTCTGTCTTTCACTTTTCTGCCTTTGATGTTGGCCCAAATCTGCCACCTGAGGTGGATGCCTTTCCCTGGCTCACAGTGTTGCTGTTTTTAACAGGCAGTCCTTGAAACCTGTGAGTGGCAGTGCTTCCTGGTTTTCTTTGTATGAAATGTTACCAAAAGCACCTGAAGCTTTCTTTCACAGTCTCTGCCTTGGTGCATTGTTCCACTGGGCAAAATAACTTGATCGCTGCCAAAGGCTTCCTTTCTATTGAAATCTGTGGTATGTCTGAATAAACCATGTGTGGGATTGGGCAGCATAAAGGACACACACAAAAACCAGAAATGTGCTGATGTTTGTTTCTTGTAGTGAAAACTACCTGGTTCGTTGGGGGAGCACCGGAATGCCCAAGGAAATTGAGAAGCTGAACAATCTCCAGGCTGTCTTTACAGTAAGTCCTTCTCTGAAATTCCATCCCTCCTCCAACCAGCTGGTGTTCTAATTGTTCCTAATGATTGTTTTATTGCTTCTGGGGTGAATAGCACCCGTGATCTTCCTGCAGTGACCCAAAGGTCTATTTGACTGGTTGTTACACCACTTAGTCCACACAATGCTTTGGCAAGAGAGATGCCTTGGACATGTCGCTTGGCAAAGTAAAAAGGTTACTTTGACATGCAGTCACTTACTTAATTGCGGCCAGCTGGCCAAGATGTTCAGGCAGTCTGGTCCACAGTTGTCTGTAGTTATCTTACCTAAGAACAAATAGGAGATGGTAAGGATGACATAACCCTGAGCCCTTTTTTAAAAAAGTGGCTGCTTAAGCGGGGGGGGGGGGGGAACGTCCTAACCTGTTCTTTAAATCCCAAAGGGGCCTGCATCTTCTAGCTGAAAGAGCAGTGGCCAGTTTATGTTTTAGGCTCCTGAGCTCCATGTCTTTGGGCTGGACTGCTCCAAACCCACATACTAAGAGTGCTCAATTTGGATATTGAATATGAAAATGACCAAGGCTGACTTAGCCACTGAAACCTTTGGTCGATTTCATCTGCAATACATTGGATGAGCGCTCTTAGGCCTGTTCTAAGGATAGCCTTGGTGGGGGAAAAGAACTTACCCACGCCAAACATGCACACCCTCAGAGTCTCACTTAAACTGTGTACTCATTAACACACCAACGCAAAGCCTGCCTGGCCTGTGGATCTCTGGCATGCTAAAACTTCACATGAAGCAAATGAGAGTCCAATTTAAACAAGATTCTGAGCATGTAAAAGATCTCATGGGTGAAATCTACTTATATTTACCTTCCACGGTCATTTAAGTCAGGCCTTGGGTTAAATTAAGTTGATCAAAATGTGTTTGAAGTCTTCGTCAGTTTCATTTTCAACACGCCGGGTGAGGACTGTTAGTTATTAATTTTGCAGATTGCACCACACCTAGAAACCTGAAATGCAGTTGACCAAAGCTTACTTAGCCAAGGTTGTATGCTACTTCAGGAAAAAGAGAAATACACCCAGGTCTTTTTAAACAACAAAGTTTCTGGATTGTGGAAATTTCATCCCTAATGCTTTCCTGGCACCCGCATTTTTTGACAGCTTTTTGCCCCTGGGCAAAATCTCTCCTGTTTGTGCACTTGATAGTTGATTTTCCTTTTGCCTCTTTTATAGTTCTGTCTTACTTCGGTTTTATTTTGCATTGCATTTCAATATTTAGTTGTGATGACATCTCTCATGGTCATGAAAACAGCAACTGCCTGTTCCTGGGCTTTTTCCAATTTGTTGCAGTGGTTAAGAGCGGTAGACTCTAATTTGGAGAACAGGGTTTGATTTCCCACCTCTCCACATGCAACCCGCTGGGTGATCTTGGGTCAATCACAGTCCTCTCACAAGCCGTTCTTTCAGAGCTCTCTCAGCCCCACCTACCTCACAGGGTGTCTGTTGTGGGGAGAGGAAGGGAAGAAGATTGTGAGCTGCTCTGAGATTCCAAGTGAAGGGTGTGCTATAAATCCAGTTCTTCTTCCTCTTCCTCCTCTGCTTCCTCCTCTACTCACCCCAAATTTGTGGGATGACCTTGGTACCACAAGCATATCTGACCTTGCTGCTTTTAGAAAAGCTTGCAAGACAGTACTTTTAAAAACGACTCTTGGTTAGTCGGGGGAGGGGGGAGTGGCTCAGTGACAGATCACCTGATTGGCCTGCAGAAGGTCCCAGGTTCAACTCCAACATCTTTAGTTAAAAGGCAGTAAGTGATGTGCAAGTCCTCTACTGGAGACCCCGGAGAGCCATCACCAGTTTGAGTAGACAGTACTGGCCTTAATGGACCAATGGTCTGATTCATTATAAGGCAGATTCCTGCATAATGGTAGTCGGAGTCATTTTTGTGATTATTTTATCTATTGATGACAGGGACTGTGTATTTTTATCTGTTTCTCTTATGTTTAATTGATGTTTGTGCAAGCCATCATGGGTGGCCGTTGATGGCAAGGAAAGGATATTAGAATTTTTTTCTAAATATGCTGAAGTGTGCTATAGGCTTTTTAAAAAAATTGATTGTTTTTATAATTGTTTTACTGTTGCAAAAAGGCTGTGTTGAATCTTTGTTAGAAAAACAGGTGGCACTTTAAAAGGAGAGAAGGCTGCATTTCAGCCTTTTAATCTGACTCTCATTTACCTGTCAGGACTTTGCTCAAGGAATGCTGGGAAACTTGAGGGGGGTTTTTTATGAAGGCACTGAACATTCAGTTAGAAGTCTTTGATCCTTTTTGCTAGTCTGCTGATCAAACCAGTTTACATATGCATTCAAGCATCATGGCCAGACATGGACCTTTATAGTAACTCTTAGGTTAGAGAGCCTGGAGATTTTTCAAAGTCTAAATTGGAATATAATTGAAAATTTCCATTTCTTGATTCCTTGGAGGGTCTGATTAAGTAGCTGGGAGATTTTGTGCATGCTGTTTTAAAAGCAACATATTGTTAGCTCTCTTGTACCCTCGGGGCCGAAACTGAAAATAACTGCTCAACTTTCCCCTGTGTGGCATGTTTGCACTGGACGCAAGGATGATGCAGTCATTAAACAGTCTTTAGTGATGGGGTGGTTAATTATTCACACTCATTTCCTGCGTAGTTGCTGGAAAGTTTTGCAGCAGAAGGAGACTGTAGAAGGTTGTGGTGTGCTATATCCAAGCACCTTGGTCTTGTCTTCTGCTTGGGGTTGTTCCTTCCTGTATAATCTTTTTTCCATCCTCTTCAGAGGGAGAGAAGAAAAAGTGAAATGTTATTCACTAGGCTGTAAACCTGAAATCCTTAAAGCCTCATTACCTGTGTCCCGCTTCCTGCCCATTGAAATTTTAAATGCAGACAGGGACCTGTCTGTGTGTGTCTTTTTTTGCACTTTGTAGCAAAACATCATGTTAACGGCATAACATTATTTAGAATGGGAAAGCAAGAAAGCAAGAAATTGCAAGTAGATAAATAGGTACCAGTTCGGTGGGAAGGTAACAGCATTCCGTGCGCCTTGGTGTTTAGTCATGCCGGCCACATGACCACGGAAACGTCTTCGGACAGCGCTGGCTCTTCGGCTTTGAAACGGAGATGAGCACCGATACCCTAGAGTCGGACTCGACTGGCTTTCGAGCAAGGGAACCTTTACTTTTTTTGTAGGTTTGGTTTCCAGGTAATGGCAACCCATGTCTTGCAACAGTGTAAATATATTGTTGGGGGATCCTCAGTCTTGCTTGCTCCCTTTTCCCCTTGACCACAACCACAGAATGAATTTTTCCTTATTTTCCTTTTTTTTTTTGCATCAATATTTCCTTTTTTTCTTCATCAAACCATAGTTTGCCAGTTCAGATGGTTCGTGTTGCATCTGAACTGGAAAACTGTTTTCTGCTTTCCTTGCTAACCAGGGTTTCGAACTCTGGCTGGAAATGATAACTAGTTGTAAAGTAACATAGTTGGTCATGCACAAGGGAAGGAAGCATGCAGGCCTAAGCATCATCCAGGCTTGTTCACACAGTAGGAATCTGTGGCTTGCTATTACATTTGACCTATGAGTTTTCAATGTGTTTGCATGAAAAAAAAACAACCATGCATACAAAATACACTTTACTTCCTTATAACTATGATATTGCCAATCCTGTCTTACAGATATGGAATTGGATTTTGGCTCACCAGCCAAGGAAACTTAATTTGTCACTTTCAAGCTGTTTTGATAACAGTTAGGCAGACCTGTGCATCATGTGACTTGGGGCCCAAGTGAGCTCAAGAGATAGTGCTGTATAATTGGTAGTGCTGAAGATGGATGAGACAGCTCTGTGTTCAAATTCACACTCAGTCACAATTTCTTTTTGGCCTGGGAGGAACCTCACTACCCCTCTTGCAGCACTGACAGATCAGATGGCCCCACTAGATTTTTTACAGAACTCTTAGTGGACCAATATTGAATGCATTGAATGCATGCATAGCTCTTGTCACACAACTTTGTAATGTTGTGATAGCTGTGGGGAGTTATTCACAACCCTGAGCTTTGCATGCAGAAAATCCCAGGCTCAATACCAGGCCTCTCGAGCTAAAAAGGAACCTTGCTTTACTGTTACAAAAATAGCGTGAGAGTGACAAATTAATTGGATAGCTTGAAACGTGGGAGAGCTGCTGCCAGTCAGAGTAGACCTTGGGCAAATACTGGGCTGACGGCCCAACGGAAATAGCTCCATATGTTCAAAAGCTGTCAGAACATAGGGACTGGTGGGCCAAGGTCTGTTTCACAAATCGGAATGATGTGATTTGACTCTTAATGACTGACAAACTAACTGACTCTTAATTACTTCTATGCTGGATCTTATTGTTCGTCTAGGACCTCAGCAGTTCTGACTTGATCCGACCTAGAATCAGCCTGGTGTGTCAGATTGTGAGAGTGGGCCACATGGAGCTTAAAGAAGGCAAGAAGCATACCTGTGGACTCCGGAGACCTTTCGGAGTGGCTGGTAAGATGTGTGTAATGTGTAATGGAGTCCCTTGTTGTCTGAATGACACAGTATAATGTTCCCCTCTTCACTGAACATTCATTGCTCATAATTTTATAAATCTCAGTCAACCCCTTCCCCTTTACCCCATGTGATCAACAGCAGGCCAGAGATGGAACATTATATTCTACTGGTGGTGGCTGGCTTTGAATGCCTCTTCCCAGAGAAGAGTTCTGGGTAACATGAAAGCTGGCCTCTGTTGATCTGATAGTTAATTGATCCAATACAAGGTTGGTTGCTTCACTTTCTCTGTACGTACAGTCTCAGCTGTGCTGGCTCCTTATCTGTAAAAGGAAGGTGAAAGTTACTAGTGCAGAGTGACTCGAGGGAGGGGGCTAGCATAATTACTTTGGCTGCTCCTCACCATGTGGGCTTTTGATCTGAAACCTGCAGGACCAAGACCTGTGGGGCTTGCAGGATAATGTGGCTTTCCTGCTGTGTCAGAGCAGATTTTCATATTCCTTTCAAGAGGCCCTTTTCCCAGCTACTGTACTGAAACTGTCAAAAGTTTAATACTGAAACAGTACTGAAATTAGGGCTGCCAAGTGGGGGCGGGGAAACCCCCGCTTTGGAGGCCTGATTTCCGCCGCGGTGGAATCGGGCCCCTGGGGGAACTCCGCCCCCCCCAAAGCTGCGTCACCAGAGGTGACGCAGCCACATCACTCACATTGGGGGCGTGGCCCAGATTGTCGGGGGAAAACCATATGGTTCCCCCCCGATGATCTGGGCCACGCCCCCAACGTGAGCGACGTAGCACGTCACTTCCTGTGACATGCTGGTGGTGTGTATGTGCTTCGCGCGCGTGCACGCACGTCCTGGGAGAGCTCCCGGAGACCGGCAAGGCTCCCCCGCCGGCAAGGGTAAGTACACTTGGCAACCCTAACTGAAATTGTCAAAAGTTTAATAAAAGCTGGACAGTGAATGGTAAAAATGGGAGTCTCGTGCCACCTTAAAGACTAACAAGCTCTGGTCGCCCTCATGGACAAACTTCGGAGGCATCTGGATCAAGGCGGTTTGGCGGTGTTGCTGTTGTTAGACCTGTCGGTGGCGTTCAGTGTGGTCAACCACTAACTACTGATCCACCACCTTGCCAACACTGGAATCCAGTGTTGTGAGCCTTGCAATGGCTTTCCTCATTCCTTCAGGGGCGGGGACACAGGGTGGCCATAGGGGAACAGCTGTCCCAAAGGCACCTGCTAGTTTGTGGTGTGCCCCAAGGTGCGGTGCTTTCCCCGATGTTATTTAACTTGCCCAGATTGCCCGGAGGCATGGGTTGGGATGTCACCAATATGCGGATGACTGGGCAGCCAGTCAGACTCCAGTCCAGAAGATCTGGACCTGGTGTTGCAAGCCATGGCTGGATGGCTTAGACTGAGTCGACTGAAATTGAATCCAGTGAAGACGGAGGTCCTATGCCTGAGTCGGAGTGACCTGAGGGTAGGGATCCCACTCCCGACCTTCGATGGGGCACCGCTGGTGCCAGCGCCAGAGGTTAGGAGTTTGGGAGTGCTCTTGGATTGCCTCCTTTACGATGGAGGCCCAAGCCACTGTGAAGTCAGCCTTTTATCATCTTCAGCTGATAAGGCAATTGATTCCCTTCCTTGAACGCAATGACCTGGCATCAGTGATCCACGCAATGATCACCTCAAGATTGGATTACTGTAATGCCCTCTACATGGGGCTGCCCTTGTCCCAAATTCGGAAGCTGCAACTGGTGCAGAATGTGGCGGCCAGGCTGTTGCTGGGTCTCCCCATGCGGTAACACATCCAGTCTGCGCTAAAAGTACTGCACTTGCTGCCTATAGCGTATTGAATTCGGTTCAAGGTGTTGGTACTTACCTTCAAAGCCCTTTATGGTCAGGGGCCTACCTAACTAAGAGACCGCCTTTCCCCCACATGTTCCCCAGAGAGCACTATGATTGGGGTCCCAAAATCACTCAGCTCTTCCAGGCCCCAGAGAAGCCAGGCTAGCTGTGACAAGGACCAGGACCAGGAGTGGCAGCTCCATACTGGTGGAATGAGCTCCCAGAAGACATCAGGCCCCTGCGGGACCTTTTGCAATTCCACAGGGCCTGTAAAAGGGAGCTCTTCCACCAGGCCTTCGATTAGGGAGCCGCATACATCTACCTGAGTCCCTGGCCCCAATAGTAACAATAGTACTTCAACTAACATCAATATCATACCAGCTGAATAGCCTGTGCTCCACTGATACAACCCAGACCCTGTTGCTAGCTGACTGTTGGACGCCCACCATCGTTATATTGCGCTAGCACTTTATGTATTGTTTTAGACCTATTCTATTGCAATTTTATTAATTTTTTATCTTGTTATAATATTATGTAAGCCATCCTGAGCCTGGTTCGGCGGGGAGGGCAGGATATAAAATTAAATAAATAAATGCGTCCATGAACTAGAGACCACTTTGTTGGATGAGAGGCCTTACTTGGCAAACACAAGAGATTATAAAGATTAGATGTTGCAGACTGCAGTGTCAGAGGGCTACAAAATGGAGGGAGTACAGTACAGAGACCATTTCCAGTAGCATCAATCTGTGATGATGTAATTTCCTCTGAAATGACTAAGGAACCCCTAGTGTTTTAAGTCTTGGGGGGATTACGTCCTGCATTCCAATTCAGAAGTTTCGTGCCGGAGTCTTCCCTTTGAAGGGCTTCTCTTTTTTTGCTGGTGAATGCTGATGTCTAGATCAGCACCAGTGTGTCAGATACATTCTATACGTGATGCTGTCTTATAGGGAGTCAGCCCACTGGCCTCTCCAGGTTAGTATTGCCCACTCTGCCTGGCAGCAGCTCTCTAGGATCACTGGCGGAAGTGTTTCACATCACTGTCTAACTGATCCTTCTAAAACTGGAGATGCCGGGGACTGGATCTTCTGCACGCAAAGCAGATTCTCTACCACTGAGCCGTATCCCCTCCTGGAAGATTGCCACTCACAGCTCCCAGTTCAAACCTGTCCTCAGTGAGCTGCAGTTAATCCTGGACAGCTATGCTTCTCTCTCACACAGGGCTTGGGGCAGGCCTGAAAAACTAATGACCCAGGTGCAGACTACTTCCACACATTATAGCCTGCAGTGTGTTTTTAAAATCTCCTTGTTACAAGAGTTCTAAGCAGGCAACAGAACTGAAGGCCTCTCATCCAACCATCCATGGACAGAACAGAGAGTTTCCCCTGTGTTCCTCTGCATTCTTGTAGCCTCTTCCAGTCCCTGGAAAGATGATTCCCAGGCCTCTGTGCCTGCGCAGAGGAATAGTCATGGGTTGGGGGGTAGAACTGTGCTGAGGGGATGAAATTGCTCCTGCTCCCCCTTCTGCAAGAGCAGCTCCTCTGAGCGGAAGGCAGAAAAATTCTGTGTGCCTTCTGTGCGCAAATGGTTGTATACAGCAAGCTGATAGCTCTTTGTTCAGGACACCAGGATGGCTAGTAGATTTTGCTTGGCTGTGCAGATCACAAACTCTTTGGACCATTTATATGGTTAACGTTCATCATTCAAGTGGCTTTGATTCTTCTCCCATTTTGGCTTCAGTAGGCTAACTTTTCTTTTGGTCCTTATCTCTATGACTGGCAAAAACCTGTCTACTCCCTAGTGATGGACATAACAGACATCATCCATGGGAAGGTGGACGATGAAGAAAAGCAACACTTCATTCCCTTTCAGCAGTAAGTATTTTACATTCTGGCTACTTTGGCCCATTGGTATTGGGTACAGAGTCTTGACAGGGTCTGTGTAATTTTTTTCTGAGAAAAACAAAACAAAGAAAAGCAGTTTTTTTGTAGGAGCAAAAGTAGGCTTGAATGTGTGGGCGCTGGTGTCATTTCTGAAAATGGAAAGGAAAGTGGGTGTATGGCTCTGCCTCCTTAATGAAAAGAAGTAAAATAAGCAATGCAAAATGATCAGAACTGTGCAAATGTAAGAACGTAAGGAAAGTCCTCTTGGTAGATCAAATTCATCATCCATCAGCATTCTGGCCCATGTTCAGTCTGACAGTTGAGAAAATATTGTTTCTGGAGGTCAGTGAATGCTCAGGAACAGAAATTGGGATTGGGGAAGTTGCCACCCTCTCTTAAGAAAATTTAAGGGCCTTTATGTTTTTGGAAAGTGGCTGGGTATAGGTCAATGTTTCCCACAGTGCCTAGCTAAATGCTTCCAGGAAGTCCAGAAGCAAGGCCTGAAGGCAAATGGCCTCCCCAGCAACTAGCATTCAGTGGTATATTCTCTCTGAACCTTTGTTTTCCTGGACCTTCACATCTCTGCATATTCTACATGCTCTGTTCCTGCCATTTGAGAGACTCTTCTTCAAATTAAGAATCACCTTCCTGCTCTCATTCACTATGGATGCATGGAAGGCTCCGGAACTCTCACTTATTACCGTAATTCAGACCCAGGCTGGTGCCTTCCAGCCTCCTCTTTATACCAAGTTAGGCTTTATGTGAGAACGGGTAGACCAGGCCTTGTGTTTAACTATGAGATTGAGATTGAAGATACTGACTGATTGGAAGTTCACTTCTGTTTCTCTGGTTGGCAGGATTGCCATGGAAACATACATCAGACAGAGGCAGTTGATCATGGCACCCTTAATAACATCGCACGTGATTGGAGAAAATGAGCCCCTGACGTCGGTTTTCAACAAAGTCATTGCTGCAAAGGAAGTGAATCACAAAGGGCAAGGTACACACATCAGAGGAGAAGACTGTTTAAACCTTCCAAAGTGGGAAGGGACTTTGACAGAGGGAAGGAATGAGAGAGTCCATTTGTTAGCAAGCAAATTAATTGCTTAGGATGGTTCAACAACAATCAAGATCATTGGAGTGTGTCTTATACTGGCTGCTGCTGTGCTGGAGACAGATGCAAATGTTGCTTGTTTGCCTCAACTTACTGCTATTGATAACAAGGGTGGGAAACTCCCTCCTGTGTCTGTTGGCATTTCGAGCTCTTTGGATAGGCTGTGTATCTAATAAATGAGAGAGGCTGCAGCTCAGAGTGACAGAGCACCTGTCTGGCCTGCAGAAAGTCCCAAGTTCAGTCCCTGGCATCGCCTATAAAAGGATCTCAGGTGTTTTGAAATAACCTGTCTTTGCTTGGAGAGTCACCACCAGTCAGGACAGACGATACTGAGTTAGATGGACCAATGGCAACGTCGTACATTCATAGGTTCATATGATAAGAAATTTTTAAAGGGCATTTTGAAAAGGAAATCATAAGCTAAAGGAGAATAGCTGTGGATTTTCCCCTCTGAGCAAGAGTTGTCAGGTACTTTTTAAGGATAGGGCAGTATCAAATGAGTCCCACCACATCAAACCTAATCATGATTTGGGTATAATTGCAACCTACTGGTAGTGGCCAAGAAAAGACTCCAAAGGCAAATCTCACAGGACAACAAATCAAGTGTAACTTCCAAGAATTAAGCATTGTTGGACACTTTGGAGGCATGGCCAGACATTTGGGCTTGCTTTCAATTTGACATATTTTGTCAATTTTTTAATCCCACCACCTCTCCAAGGAATATAAAATGGCATCCATTGACACTTCCCTCCCTTTACTTTTCACAACAGCGCTGTGAGGCAAAGTGAAGTTGAGCGGTAATGATTGGCCTCCAAAACACCCAGTAAGCTTCAAGATAGAGTAAGGATTTGAACCTGAAACTAGGTGAGGTTAGGGCCAACCTGAACAATTCCATAGCCCACTTGAGAAAACAATGCTTTTGGGGCCACATCTGTGAAGTAACATGAGGCATTTGTTGATCACATTTTTATCCCTCCCTTCCTTAAAAAAAACTTAGAAAAACTAAAAATAAAAAACAACAACATGATCCTCCTTTCCTCTGTTTTTTCCTTGCAGCAAACCTGTGAGGTAGTTTGGCTGAGAAAGGTTTCTGTTCCCAGGTCACCTAGGGAGCTTCACGGCAGTGTGGGGATTTGAACCTGAGTCTCCCTCATCTTTATCTGACACTAACTGCTAGACCGCTTCAAGATGGGTAGCCATGTTAAACTGCCTGCTCACTCAGTGACTCATGAAAGCTCATACCATGCTACAAATGTTGCTAGTCCTTAAGGTGCTACTGGACTCTTACTCTTTTCTACCACCGGACCGCGTGGGACTCTCACTCATTTCACCTCTGTGCTTCTGCACAAAGTGGTGAGGAGCTGCCCACTGCTCTGTCAAGAATAATTTTCTATCTGCTGCTGCTTTATTTCAAAGCAGTGATTCATTGTCAAAGAAACAAGCTATTCTTTCAAAAGCATTCCATTCGCATTACTTTGAAAACTGAGCATTTCGGAGCAGATGACTGCTTTGGCGATGGTGAAGATCAAAGCCATGATTTGCTGTAACTTAAAATTCAAGTGAGGCTGGTCAGGGTTGGGAGCGGGTGGACGTGCCTATGCTATGTTGGGGTTTGAACTCTGATACTAGAGATTCAAAATATATATTATTTTTTTGAGTGCTGGCACAATGCCTCTCACAAGGAAGTTGACAGAAGCTTAAGCCAAAATCCTGCTCCCTTTCTCAGATCAAAAGAACACTGTGTCATTTAAACTCATTCCCTTCCATGTTAACATACTTCCGCAAACCCACATGTTGATCCTGAAACATTAGTCGGCACGGTTCCTCTTTTGTTGACAACTTCTTCAAATTCTCCTTGAAACCACTGGTTGAGTTAGTCGGCTGATGTGAGACGAAGAACAAAGCCTAATGTGAATGTAACTCTTGGGGGGGGTGTTGAGTGGGGTAATATCTATTCTTTATATGTGTAGCTGCCTTAAAAAGAGTCAGGTCATTAGTCCATCTTGGCTACTCTGATTGGCAGAGGCTCTTCACGGTGTGAAGCAGAGAAAGAGAGTGTTTCCTGACATTTCTTACTTGAGATCTTTTAACTGGAGATAGCAGGGGGTTGGATCCTGGACCTTGTGTGTACCAAACAGGGTTCTCAGCAGGGAAGGGTCTTTCCCAGAATCTGGTTTCCTAGTAAAGGATTAATACTGTTGCCTTTGGCATGTGAAGAGTGTGCTGTACCCGTAGGCCATAGCCCCTTCTCACGTCATATGAAGTACAAAGGATAAGCCAGATAGTTCTGTCCTTAAAGCAGCATCAGTTCCTGGAAAACAAGCCAAATTGAGCTCCTGTTCTTTTATGTGTGTTGTATCAATGTAAAGTTATCAAACAAAAACAGCATTATGCCTGAGGCGCGTGGGGGTGGGGGACATCCAGGGGAAAATAGTTTTGTACTGTCTTCTTCAATAGTATTAATGTCACATCCCCCCCCCCCTTTGTTCTCCTTCAGGCCTCTGGGTTTCACTAAAGCTACTTCCTGGTGATTTAGCTCAGGTTCAGAAGGACTTTTCACATCTTGTTGACAGATCGACAGCTGTGGCCCGCAAAATGGGATTCCCAGAGATTATTCTTCCCGGTGTGTACTTTGTTGTTAATAGGAACGACTCTTAATGTTTGTCTGGTTTCTTTGTGCTGTATTTTTATTCTTCCCTTCTTCCAGGGAGCTTAGGGCAGTGGACAGTTTTTCTCCCTGATTTATCCTCACTACCACCCAGGAAGGTAGGGAACTGGAATATGGCAATTAGTCCTGAAATCAGCCAGCATCCTTTGTGGCTGAGCTGGGATTTGAACCCAGGCTTCTCTTGTTTAAGACTCCTGAGAGCTTCTTACAGATTGATGTCTGGGCAATGGAAGGAAGGAATACAAGGATCATTTTCACAGTTCAGGGGATAGTCTAAAGCAGTGGTGCTCAGCCTTTATAGACCCAGACCCAAAGGTGAAACATAGTGAGGAACAAGCCAAGGGTAAGAGTGGTGAAGCCTCTCCACCTTGGAGTGACTTTGCCTGCTGCTCCTTTCAACACATATGCCTAGAGAGATAGGAGGCATTACTCCCTTGATCTTTGTGCAATTGCACTAACAGCAGGTTTTACCATGAGGTAGTAAACAAATGGCAACTCTGTAGGGGGTCATGGCCTGCCAAAGGCACTCTGTGACTCAATTGATGGTCCCAACCTGCTTGAAGACCACTGCTGTAAAGCACCATGGATGGGCATCCAGAAATCTGTCAGCCAGCTTGCAGAGCCAAGTACCTGGTCCCTTTGGCAAGGAGGATGTGTAGCATCTCATGTCGCCTCTCCTGAGTCCCCATCGACAAGAGACTCGTGTAGTTTCTGCAAACAAGGCCCTGCTTGGTATATCGCCACCTTTGGAAGTAAGGTGTGTGACAGCAAAAGACTGGGCTTGTTTGTGGTGGTGGCCCAGCTACGGAATTTCTTCCCTTCAGTTTGCCAGAGTTTCAAGCACCAAGGGAAGACTTGAGGGGGAGGGGGTTTGCTGGCAAAGACAAATACAGGCTGGCTAAAAAGCCCCCAGTTTTTGTGAATATACATACAAGACCATCTTCAAATATTTATGTATGCCGCCTATCAATGCAAGTAGCTCGAATCACTTCACAACAAAATAAAATTGATAAACGATGTAACATCTCCATTGATTTTTTAAAAAAATCTCCATTGATTTTTTAAAAAAATGTTAAAACAGATCTTAAAATAGCAGTGGTACAGAAGCAATAATTCACCAAGGGATAGCAACCATTAAAATCCAAAGCACAGACAAACAAAAGCAGAGAGGAATGAACCAAAAATCACTCAACACTCCGTTAAATGCTGCCAGATTTGTTTAAAAATAACAAAATGGAAAGAGTCTTGATTTGGTGCCAAAAATATATAGCAAAAGTGTTAAATGGGGGGAGAGTGGGAGGGCAGCCACTGAAAAGGGCAATATCCCTTGTGGCCACCCACCTCACTGCAGAAGGCAAGGGGGGACACGAAGGAAAACCTGAGGCGAATAATGCTGTTTCTGGACACCATGGTGCATGGGGAAGTGATTTCTTGAATCCCTAAGACCATAAAGGGATGTATAGGTTAAAACCAGCACCTTGAGTTGGGACCAGATGCAGACAGACAGTGAAGATCCTTCAACACTGGAGGATTGTTGTGATGCCTGTAGTTCACCTTTGTTAACAGACCTGCTACTGTATTCTGGACTACTTTGAGGTTTCAGAACTGCCTTTGGGGGCAGCCCCATGTAGAGTGTGTTACAGTAATCAAGCCTGAAGCTGAGAACAGCATGTAATGCTGTGGCCAGATCTTGCTTGATGAGGAAGGGTCACAGAAATCTGAGTATCCCTCTATACATCCCAATCAAGCAGCCTTCTCCGGATGCAAGCCTGCTCTCTCAGAGGGAGTAGAACCCTACTCAGAGTAGGCCATTCAGTTCCATGATCACTATCAACGAAAGAATCTTCAGTTTGTGCTTGGATTGTGCTTCAGTTCATTGGCCTACATTCAGCCCATTATCATGCCTTTGTTCCATATGCTAATAATATATGAGAAATGTTATGTCAATGTCTTGTAGATGGAAAACTATTTCTGGAGCAAAGCTGATTGGGAACTAACATTGAATAGTTTTGTTTTTGTGCTGCATTCCAACTGTCCCACTTGGACAGAGTATCATCATCTGCATTGTTTCAGGTGATGTTCGAAATGACATCTATGTCACCCTGGTCCATGGAGAGTTCGACAAAGGGAAGAAGAAGACTCCCAAGAATGTAGAGGTCACCATGTCCATCCATGACGAAGATGGCAATCTTGTAGAGGTAGGGAAGGGGGTTGGGGACAATTGTGTGAAATAAATATTGAAGTATGTATATGAGTGGCCTCCTTTGCAGCTTGAATGAAGTCGCCAGTGAGCAGATGGCTAAGTAAAAGAAGGTAATTTTTCACACAGGGATGGCTAACTAACAGCATTTGCTATATGAGATGGGAAGATAGCCACTAGTTTAGCTGGATTTTAAAACACATAGGACAGATTCATGGAGGAGAGGCCTATCAACAGGTGTTGCTAAAAGGAACTCTGAGTCCAGAGGCAATGTACCTTCGAGTATGAGGTGCTAGGTGCAGACAATGCATAGTACCCTGTTTGTAAGCTTTGCAGGGGAATCTGGAAGAGTGTTGGAGAACTGAATGTTGACCTGGATGGCTTTTCAATCTTATTCAGCAGGGAAGGTTCTTATGCTCAAGTAGATGTTGCTCACCTCTTTATTTTTTTCTGGGTAATCTAGAATGAAATTATGAATATGAATACTGCGCTACAGCTGAGGATGGGGTGTTGGGGGGGGTAGCACAATTTCTAAGTTTCTATGACAGCTGAGTTTATTTAATTTTGAACTGGAGTTATCATGAATTCTCATGATGGACAGGCGGCTGACCATCAAAGCCTCCAGTGCTGATGTGGGCCCATCTTATACCTCTTAAGGCTGGGGAGAATCAATACTGCATCCAGCCAGTTGGCTTATTATTCTTGAAAGTTTTCCATTAGTTGAGCCAGCACTGATGAGTTTCAAGGTCGCATTCTTGATGACTAAAATGGTAGTCAGTGTGCTAGCCTCAGCAAGTGAATCATGTAGAATTCTTATTTCGGCATTGTGTGCTTTGGAGACTCTTGGTAATCCTGAAATGTTTCAGCTCATGACTCATGATAGTGAAACATTGCTGTCACATGCTGAAAGTGGTCTTTTATTTGTTTCTTTTTATTTATTTATTTATAACATTCACATCCCATCTTTCAGAAAGCAGAAGTACCTGAACCCTTAGAAAATGACAGCAGTGGTTGGGTAGGTTCATATGGGAGTAAGCAGTCCTTAAAATATGCTGGTCCCAAACAATGTAGGACTTCAAAATGTCAACAGGTGCACCTTGAATTCACCAGAAACAAATTGGAAGCCAGCATCAATGGACCAAGATTGGAGTGATGTGGTCCCTATGACCCACTCCAGTCAAAATCTTAGCTGCAGCATTTTTTCCCTCCCAGCATGATTTGTTTGGCAATATTTGTAATATCTTGTCTGGTTCTTTTTCTTTTCCTCTTTTTCTCCTTCCTTCCTTCCTTCCTTCCTTCCTTCCTTCCTTCCTTCCTTCCTTCCTTCCTTCCTTCCTTCCTTCCTTTCATGTGTCGTCCAAAGAAAGCTATCCATCCAGGGGCTGGTTATGAAGGTATCTCCGAATACAAGTCAGTTGTCTACTATCAAGTCAAGCAGCCATGCTGGTATGAAACTGTAAAGGTGAGATTGTGCATTGGGACTCACTAAGTAACAGTGGTGTCAGAATTGTTCATATTTCCCCTGTGGTGTGAATGGGGTTATTTGGTAAATACATTGTCCAGGAAACCAGGATTATGAGAAGAAGAATCTGGCAATGCAATATTTGTTTATTTCTTCATCAGCACGATTAAGGTACTTCTCTACTAGCTAGAAATATGATATTTGGTCACATGTAAGTCAGGATTCCTTTGGCCAGAAGAAAAGCCTGAAAGTTGGATCTTTATAGAGCTATGAAATATTTGTACAGATAGGTGTTACTGCCATGATAGCTAAAAACTGGATGATGCATGTACAGTCCAAGACATTCTGACTGCTAGAAAAGTGTAAAAATAGGACATTTTAAGGTTAAGTGAAGTGTGCATCAGGTCATGTAATGGGCTGTGGAAATTCTAGTGTGCCTTTACATATTTGAATCAGTCTTTGTAGGGGTTTATAATATTTCTGAATGGCAACCAGGAACATGCACCAGTTCTTACTGTGTGCAAGCTGAAATTGCTACAATGAAAATCCTTCAATGAGATAATAGAATTTGATCAAAATTAAGCTAAGTGAATAATAAATGGTATAGGGTGGGCATATTTTAGGCCCCAAATTTAATCGGGATACAGTTGGACAAGTAAGGAATCACGTCCTTGTCGTTCACCGTACCCATCTGCAGACTTATAATTTGCACAGCACTTATATAATGGATTTGTTGCAGATGAAAATGGTCAAACATCTTTCCTGCTTAAATATAATAGAAAATTAATTCTTATCAAGTCTCTCTTTCCATTTATGTTCAGTAGCTTTGCAATGGAAAAATTAAGTTTGTCCTACATTCTGAGCATTATAGTCTGTGATGAATATCATGGCTTTGGACAAGCCAATTTGGATACCTTATTATCCCTTATTTAAAAACAGGAAATCATGCTGCATCTGAGATTCACATAAATATAAATTGCTAATCTCTAGTGTATGATTTGCGAGCAAGCTTAGTATATATTTCCACAAGCAATTGAAGTTGTGTTGGAATAATGGCCAGGTTTGCAGGTACAGTTCACAAATCACATTGATGGTGGCAGAAATGCAAATCTTCTCACTGTTGACTTGGGCTTCTTAAACCTTGTGTTGCATTTTTGGGGGGTTAGGAAATGACATTCAATTTATATCCTGCCTTTTTATTGCTATTCTCAGGTTGGCTAGTAATATTACTGTTGTGCAGTTACAATAATTTATTCTCAAACAAAGAGGGGAGAAAAGAATGATGTCATGGAAGATGCTTCTTGGTAGAAACTCAGAGATCTGGATTTAGCCACGCTCTTGGCTGTAGTTATTTAAAGGTCAACAGCCCTATAATATAGATTAGGTTGACAGAGTGACTGGCTCAGAGTTACCCAGTGAATTTCATGACAGAGTGGGAATTTGAGCCTGGAATTCCCAGATGGTAACCATCAAAACCACTATGCCGCACTCATTCCAGGCACCACAACCAGCAATTGTGTCCCTCCTCCCCCGTACTCACATCCAGTGAATTCACACAATATGAGCACTCGGGGTTTTTTGTTTTATTTTCACACATGTTTTGTAAATGGCTGTCATTCACATATGATTTCTTGCTGCCGTATGACATACAGGTGTCCATCGCAATAGAAGAGGTCAGCCGCTGCCATTTGAGGTTCACCTTCCGTCATCGCTCATCACAGGAATGTAAGTACTTGAAAACCAAAACAGAGATGAAATTGTCCACCTTTTAAGCTTGAGGCAGTAGAGTGTTTGTTGAGGTCACAGATCTAATTAACAAATTATATTACAGTTATTGTTAATAGTATCATTACATAATGCTGGTAAAATAAGGTCTGTTCCATAAAGAGGAGTATGATTCAGAGTGATTATTCCAGCAGAGAATTTTTCTTTTCCTGCAGCACGAGATAAATATGAGAAGGCGTTTGGAATGGCCTTTGTGAAGCTGATGAATGCAGATGGTACTACCCTACAGGATGGCAGGCATAACTTAATAGTCTACAAGGTACTCGCTTTTTTCCATGGGGTGTGTGGGGGAAGAACAGTTGCTCTCGTAATGGAATTTCTCTATATTCCCATCAAGTTCTCCATCCCCTAGACAAAACTTAATGAAATTTTGATTGGCTGTATCTAAGACTGTAGGGTTTTAAGTGTCCGAAGTTTGCTTTTCTCGTTCAACCTGCAGGGTGAGAACAAGAAAATGGAAGATGCCAAATGCTATTTAACACTTCCTGGCACCAAAGTGGAAATGGAGGACAGGGATGGTCTGTCAGTCAAGCATCAGCCTCACGTAACCAACTTTACTCCAACCAAAGACAGCACCAAGGATAGCTTTCAGATTGCCACTCTCATTTGTTCTACGAAGCTGACACAGAATGGTAAGATTTACTGCTGACAGAACAGGAACAATGCAGAGACGTGGTATCCCAGATCAATACAAGTAGTGCTGTTGTTCATTTAAAGAATCCTTCGTCTGGGTTAGGCAACCGCCATACATGGGTGCTGAATGGCAACATGCCAGATAAATTTGCTTGGCAAGCAAGGCCAGTTCCCTGCCCAGGGGCTGAAGTGAGGGGCTGGAGCTCAGTTTGCTCCCCATGTGTCTAGCCAAGTACAGCCCTTCTCTCTCTCTTCCTCCCCTCCCCTCCATTCACCCAAACCCCAGCATCCTCACCAGCAGGGCCGGCTCGCGAACTAGGCGCTCGCCTAGAGCGTGCCGGCCCTTAGGGGCACCAAACTGGCACCCGCCCCCCCGCCAAAAGCCCTGCAACTTTCTTGACCGGGTGACTGCTGCGTGCCGCCAGGTCTTTCAGTGCGCTCAGAAGCGCAGCCGTCCTCCTCGTGGAGGAGCAGGAGCCACTGGGCTCCCCACCCCCAGGAATTAGTGGTTAGGAGTGCAGACTCTAATCTGGGTGACCCGGGTTGGATTCCCCCACTCCTCCTCCACATGCAGCTGCTGGCGTAGCCTTGGCTCAGTCAGCTCAGTCAGCTGTTCTCTCAAGGGCAGTCCTCAAAAGAGCTCTCTCAGCCCCACCGACTCAAAACCTTTCAGATTTTGTGTTGTTCATTCTTCCTAAAATGCATTTATGTTTGAAAATTGGGGGGTGCACGGGGGGGGCACCAGAAGGTATCCTCGCCTAGTGTGCAAAAAAACCTGGGGCCGGCCCTGCTCACCAGTAAACGTTGTAGGGGTTTTGACTCATGGGTCAAAGAATATTGCCTACCTTTGCTGTAACTGATTAATCATATAGGTTTTAATCAGGTTATTCATGTGTGCATATGAATAAAACAATGGCTAGGGGAAGAATAATATTTTTTTAAAAAATGGGTGGATTAGCTAAACACTGTAGCCCTGACTCAACCTTCATTGCTTGTATGGACATTTTATTATATTTCCTTGCTTAATACAGATTCAAATGTTGAGAAAACATGTGGTCTTCCTGGGACTGTATAATCCAAAGGGGAGGGAGAGTCACTTCTCTGTAAACTCTCCCAAGTAGTCAGCTCCCATGCTTGGAAAGCTAAACTGTCTGAGTGTTTATTAGGCTGCGCTGTTGTCACTGTCTTTGCAAAGTCAACAAGTAATTGATGGGGGAAGGCATTCTAATATGTAGTGTCTCTTTGTAGTCTGAAGGACACAGGCACAGAATGATTGCACCTTTTTCTAACAGTTTTGCTGCGTGTTGGCATGAGCCCCAGAGGACTATGCTAGCTAAGTGCTTTTCCTGCTAGTTTGGCTTCTGTGCTACTTATGGCATTGAAATGTGAATGCAGCACAATGGGATGGGCATTCTTGTGATTTTAGAGTGGACTGTACGGCTATATCCAGTCACACAGTTCTGAAAACTTAAGTGTGCATGAGTTTTCTTTATATATATAAAACATTATATATATAAGCTACATAATCCTGATATTATCACCATAAGTGTAGTTGATTCATTAAAAATGGTATTTCATCTTGTTCCATTAAGTAGTCCAAAATTGGGAGCCAAGTAGCAGAAAAGTTAGAAAGCATGGAGGCAAAGGCTAGAGGAGAGGTGTTAAGTATTATTTCAGCCATGATGTAAAAGTCCCAAAGATTCTTGTGCCAGGGAGATAGGTTTGGGGGATGTGTGTTCTTCCATTGAGTAGCAATTGCTGTTTGAGCAGCTGAGAGAAGGATGGGAATGAGTGAGTTTTCTTAACAAGGGGGCATCTACTTGTGCTGGTTTACCCTGTTTTGCTGCAGCTCACTGAGATATTACCACCAAAGAAATTTTGTTCCTGAGGGTTAGCATTGTGGGGTCTGCAGTGTGAGGAAATAATTGGTGGAAATCATTACCCGCTCTTAGGAAAGCCTGAGTATCCTTGAGTCTTCAGAACAGAGATAGAGACTTGCTCAAAATCATCCTGTAAGCTTCATGGCTGAGTGGGGATTTGAATCCAGGTCTCTCCAGTTCTAGTTTGATATTCCTACCTCTATGCTATGCTAGCTTTTTGTTACAGCATTTTCAGTTTCACAGAATGTTTGAAAAATATGCAGGCCATGGTCTGGATGGCTCTGGCGGGCCTGATCTTGTCAGATCTCAGAAGCTAAGCAGGGTTAGTGTGTGGTTAGCACTTGGATGGGAGACCACCAAAGAAGTGCAGGGTCACTACGCAGAAGCAGGCAATGGGAAACCACCCCTGTTCATCTCTCGCCTTGGAAACCCTACAGGGTTTCCAGTTGGCTGTGACTTGACAGTACTTCCCACTACCATAATATGCACACTGTCAATAAATGGGCATGATTTACAGATAAACAAGGGCAGTCTAGGATTCCAAATGAGCTTGAAAATCATGCATGGTTAGCAATGTATGTGTGGTGCTAAGCTGAGTGAACATGTTCACTTGCATAAACAAAATGCCGCATTAGGGAGCAGTCCCAAGCAGGTCTACTCAGAAGTAAGTTTCATTAAGTAACTAAAGTAAGTGTTGTTAGATAAGTAAGTAACTCAAGAAAATGTTGCTAGGATTGCAGCCTTGATGTCTTAACTGGTCCTTGGTGTTTGCGGCTATTCAGGGGAAGGAGGGAAGCACCTTGCTGTGCAGTGATCTTGCTGTCCAGTGATCTTTTATTATTGACCATCTATAAAACTGTGTTTTTCACAGCGACCCTGCAAGACAAATAATGATTAATTTCAGTTTAAAGATGGGGAGCTGACATTGGAAGTAAATTAATAAGCCCTCTCTGACAACTAGTTTATGACTGAATGGGAGTTTGAACCCTGGTGAGCACCATTGCTCTTTCCTCTTCACTGTGTTGGGTCTCATTTTCTGAATGAGAGTTAACATGGAATTTAAAGCTTCCTTTAAATGCTTCTCCAGACTCAGCATTTGGCTTTGGGTCTTGGATCTGCTGTTCCATAATACGTCAGGTTCCAGACCAGGACTGTAGTTTTCCACGTCACAGATGTCCACTCATGATGATAAATGGCTTCTATCTAAATCCTCCAGACTGTCTTGAAAGCCTTATTTGTCATTTTTTGCTAAAATTGTTGCCTATAGAAGCCTGTGGAATGGTGGAATAGGCAGAACCCAGCCAGCAATACTCTGTTTTGTTGAAGGGGAAAAAATAAAGGAGGCAAAGCTGTTTATTGAGATGATTCTCAGTTGATGAGCTATCAAACAGCTTTTCTTCACATTATCATAATTCAGACTGTAGTGACAGACCATGGTTTGTCGTTATGTGGACAAGTTTGGGGGCATCCTCAAGCTTGGTCCTTCTCCCTTTCCCTTGCACATGGCTTAGACATTAAACACTTCCACTGTAGCAGCAACTCCTGGTTTGTTGTTTCATCTGGATAGCAAGCTATGGTTTGCTTGCTTGCCTCCAAGCTAAAATTCCAAACCACAGCTTGAGTGGGAGGCAAGAGAATAAATTATAGTTTGTCATTCAGATGAAATGAAAAGTTACAGTTTACTGTGCAAATGTGATTGTGCCATGTGAAGAGAGGAAGAAAGAATAGATGGAGAAGATGAGCCCCAGGATCCCCCAGTACTGTTTGTGTAATAAGAAATCATGCCGTTCACTCTTGCTAGAAATAAACATCACTTCACTCTCTGTCTTGGTCTCCTCTGTGTTGCTTGTTGATCTGCCCCTAATTCATTTTTTTCTGGGTTTTTTCCTTGCAAGTTGACCTACTGGGGCTGCTGAATTGGCGTTCAAACTCTCAAAACATAGGACACAATCTGAAGAAGCTAATGGAAGTAGATGGAGGAGAGATCGTTAAGGTATACTGTGCAATCAGTTTTGAAAGCATTTGTGAATGCACTTGAAGGTTCTTCCCAGCATCTCATTCC